GAATCTATGTCTCATTTCCTCTCACTCTCTCCTCCCTTTTGCAGCCCCTATGATATTACAATTTTCCTTTCCCCTATTCCTGTTTTCAATTTTTTTCCCTTCCAGCTTAATTTTAATTGTGCCTTGACACATTATTATTTAGTGAGACTATCACTAAAGTAAATAGATTAAACTTGAAAGAAAAATTAAAAACAACCAAGCTCCTGTTACAAGATATGTCTCACATATGAATCACTCATAAAGGAGCAATCTTGACAGTAAACATGAACCACGAAAGATGCCTCTAGATTTGTAAACAAGTCAATAAAAATTCTGTTTTACATCACGAGCTACGCTCGTAAAATTCAGATGCAAAACGGCAAAAATACGGCAAACCCAGACCATCTACAGATACAAGCACTGATAGTTCAAGAATCTAGCATCAAATAAGCATATCAACAGCGCATACAAAGACCATAGAGTTTAGATGAGATGGGATTGCGGCTGTAATACCTGCACAGACCGCAGAGTAGCGTGGGCAAGAGAGCTGTGGACGGTGACTTAATGCAGCGGCCAGCAAACGGTGGCTCCTGAATATTGTACTGCGGCAACGAAATCCGGGGAGAAAAGGGAGGCGGCGGAACGTTTCTGACGACATAAATTCGTTGGGCACAGCAGCGGAGGGAAGACACAACTCCGGGATGCACAGATCTGGAATGGAGGCAAAAAATTTAGTTTCTTTTTTTCTATTTTTTTTTTCTTTTTCTTTTTTGTGAAAACAAAAAATTTAATTTCAATTTTAAATACTTATTCTGTTTACTTTTAATAATTTTAATTTAATTTTTATTTTTTATACATGAATTTTAAATAAAAATTTAATATATTATATAAATAATAATTAAAAATTTTTTCATCAAATAAAAATATTCAACAAAAATTATATATAAAAAAAATTTAATTATTTTTTATAAATTATTAAATTTTTATCTAAAATTTAAAATAAAAAAATAAAATATAATTATTAAAAATAAACAAATAATAATATTATTATTAAACTATTTTTCCATTCTTATTATGGGCAGATAACAATAGCAGGTAGTGGATAATAGATAACGAATTTGATGGATATAACTATTTGATTACAATCAATGACCTAAATAATTCATTAGTTATCTCCTTCCAGCAGAAGTAAAAGATTCTGAGTTCAAGTAGTATGATATGCGATTGGAGTGGAATAAGAGATAGAAGATGATTGCCTCTTATTATGCGACCAAAATATAAAAAAAAACTATTTGATTATACAATAATTAGTGATTATTATTTAACATTAAAT